CGCTTGGGGCCAGATTTGCTAGACCTGCAGAAATCATGGAGACTGAACCTGTAGGAGGACACTCATGTGTAAAGCCTTCCTGGCCCCTTGTGTTTTGGGTGAGGTGGACTAATACTGGTATTGTCATCTTCCTATGCCAAAGAAAGAAAAATATGCTAGAAATTCACATACTTGACACAATTGTCAGAGAAAAGTAGAAGAGGAATTTCAAAATTCACCACCGATCCCAACTGGAAGTACACAAACCCCAATTATTTCTACAGTCCCACTTCCTTTTTAAAAACCATTTATATCTGAACTCAATTAAATCCAAATCTGACTGGAGCAATCGGTTCAAAGGCAGGATTCCTTCGCCATCAGTTTTATTTATGGACACTGATTAGAAATGTTCTGTGTGTGTTTGGGATGTCCTTTCAGTTAAATCTTTCTTTACTTCAGACCATTAATTCAAGGTCTTGGCACTACCAGCACATTGCACGGTGACAGTTCCACACCAGCAAACCCCAAGCCCTGGTATTGGAGGGAACGTCTGGTAAAAAGGAGACCATTTATGTTAAAAAATATGTTTTTAGATGTACTTTTTTTGAGGGGGCGGAGAAACAGCCTGTCCAAAAGCACCATTCAAATGTGGCACGGTTGCCACCTAACACTTATATAATACAACAGCAAGATGGTGTAGCTGGAAGGGAGTATCTGTGACTTCAAAGAGCCATCATGCTCTCAGGAACTAAGGCAAATGCATTCGTTTTTAAAAAAAAAGCTACCCTTAATGAGCCTGCGGGGAAGCTATTTCTGAGAGGGGCATATTTGAGTGCAGTGCTATTATTCCTAACAGATTAGTCATATTGCATCATCAACACGAAACAATGAAACTAAAGAGCCAGGGCCCTAATTTGCTGTCACGCATACTGGTGTAACTCCACTGGGCCTGATTTTCTGGCACGCCCGAGCTGGCAAGAGATGCCGCGGAAAAGCCCAAAGACTGTTCCGGTCTCCTGAGGAGTGGGTGTCCCACTGGACTGGGTAGCAGCTGGGCGTGGGATGGGATGGGATGAGAGCACAGAGGGCTCAGCCGCCTCCCTCCCCGCCTTTCCTCTTCCCGTGCGCTGAGGGGTACGTGGCAGTTCGGTGCCGGCCGGGAGCTCCTCAGGGAGAGGGCAGCCAGCTCCGGAGACTGCCCGTTTCCCACCTCCTTTTGTACTACCGGGCTGATGCAAAGCAGGGAAGCAAATATTGAATCAGATGGAATCACTCCCCTTTCCTGGCATAAAAGAGTTGCAGAAACCCATCGTTTCTTATGCCTTTTAAAAAGTAAGACAGAAATCAGTATATTTTGGTAGAGTTTGGAGAAAGATGCCTTTCTACTCTGTTCAAATAATACAGTGGTCTGTGTCCTGATTGACCTTTGCAGTACTAACATTTTTAAAACACAGTTTTTAATTAAAATGGGCTGGAACAAATTTCCATTCTTGGTCCTGGATTGCACCAGAGTTCACAAGCGGGTTTCTTTCGCAACCCAAATCAAAACACTGAAGACCAAATACATGCACTTTGATTCAAGCTGTGCTGTCGGTGAGGCCTCCAGCAAAACACTACATTTGACAAAGTGTAGAGCTACTTTAGATTTCCATGCAGAGAATTAAGATCAAAATCTGCCCTTGACATTTGAGCCTGCCTCCAGTTTCGATCAGGAGTTTTGACTCTGATCCATATTTAAGACTAGGATTTCATTCTATTTCCGCTATCAGAAAAACCCTCCCCTGTGCTCCTTTTAGCACCTTTGCAACTTTAGGCTTGTGTATAAACTGTAGGTAAAAAAGTAAAACTGGTAACTGAAATAGCAGGAAT